CCTCTTGGCCAAAAGCTTTTCCATTTCCGGGTCTCCCTCCATGTCCCCCCAAAGAGGATAGCCCGGAGTACGTTGAGCCCAAAACACTGGTCGAGATACGTCACAGCTGATGCTCATACTACCCATCCCGCCTAAAACCGCCCTTTGGACGGGTATGGACGCTACTTGGACGGGTATTCCCGCCTCCAGGCGGCAGCCCAAAATCCACTACCCAGCCCCGAAATTATGAGAAAACCCGACCAAACCCTCAGAAACTAGCGGTGGGGCCTGAAAAACCTCCTTTACATCCAGAAATAGGCCTCTTGGATCGCCCGATGTTCATATTTTGCTCGCTCGGCCTCTCTCTTTCTCTCTCCGTCCATCCCTCCCTCCCTTTGCCCTAACACTCTGAGTGCCTAACTGCTTGTCAACACAGTCATGCAGCTGTCAGCACCGTAGCATCTTCTTTTGTGGCACCACACACAAGCTTCGAACCTCAATCCATTTCCTCCAGGAACTTGCGTGCAGCAGCTTCTGCCCTGTGCAAACATGTAGGTTTGTGCCGTCCAGGCATGTCTTTGCAGTCTGAGCAGCAATGGATATGTGGAGGGAACACCTTTCGACTGCAGCTAATGCAATCTCGAATCGGCTCCAGGGAAACGATGTGAGCATTGATCCTGGAACATTTCTTGCTATGTCGTTTGCCCTTTCGACAGCCACCACAGCAGTAACGATTCAGCCCATCCACCAACCGTGCACAGCCTTCTTGCGAGCAGACTACTCGATCGAGGTTCCCATTGGATCCGAGTGCTAAGGCTGCCATACTAAGTGTTGCATAAGACTGCATCTAGAATGGAATACCGAGCTAGCTCTTTGACAAACAGACACTGATCTTTGGACCTGGCAGGCAAAGCGTGGCGGCTGCGGAGCCCGACTTGCAGCTACAGAGAACCAAAGATTTAGGGTTTAGGGGTTCCGGGTGCTCAGATAGAGAGAGAGAGAGAGAGAGAGAGAGAGAGAGAGAGAGTCAGGGTGTTCGATAGAGAGAAATAGAGCGAACTCGTAGGACTGTATCGGGCTTAGCGGATTTCCGGGCTTAGGGGTTTCGGGTTTGGGTTTAGGGTTACTGGACTTCCACGTTGCCACTTTCAGGGATTAAAGGTTTGGCGTCTTTGGCTTTACGTAGGACTGTATCGGACTGTATCGGGGCTTAGCGGATTTCCGGGCTTAGGGGTTTCGGGTTTGGGTTTAGGATTATTGGACTTCCAAGTTGCCACTTTCAGGGATTAAAGGTTTGGCGTCTTTGGCTTTAGGTTTTCGGTTGAGGTTGTCCGAAATATCGACACCTAAAATCCTTTCTTTAGTGTGTGTACACCTTGAATCCTTTATGCTGCAGAGACTTGAGATTAAGGAGCCCAGGATCCGGGATCGGCCATAAAGCTTAAACTTATAGCCCATAACATCCTATAAACTTATTTTATATACAATATATTATATAATATATAATATATATTATAATTATATATGTTATATATATATATTTTTCCTTTGAGGCTTCACTCGTAACCTTCAGGAGATAGGAACGAGAACTTGAATCTCGAGACCTGAATCCCTCTTTATTCTATAGCACCACCGTAGGACTGTCGGGCCGGGGCTTTGGACAACCAACACCAGGAACACACCCCTAAGTCTTAAGCGGAGTCGCACAAACATAGAAGCAAACACCCTAAACCCCAAATCCATTTAGGGTTTGCGGCTTTAGGGGTTTAAGCTTAGGATTTAGGGAATGCTAAGAAGCAAATACCTGAACCCCAAATCCATTTAGGGTTTTGGGCGTTAGGGGTTTAAGCTTAGGGTATTCGGGAATGCTAAGAGGCAAATATACCTGAACCCCAAATCCATTTAGGGTTTTGGGTGTTAGGGTTTAAGGTTAGGATTAGAGAATGCAAGAGGCAAATACCCGAACCCCAAATAGATTTAGGGTTTTGGGTTTTAGGGTTTAGGCATTGGATTTAGGAAAGGTGAATCAAAGCCAGGCACCGACACCCAAGCCAGGCCACAAGCTAAAGCAGCAAGCCCCACGAACCTCAAGGCCTTCCCCCCAAACACCTCAAACCTAACCCCGCCCACTCGAAACCATACTCAGAAACCAAACATGGCGGCCCACTCTCTTCTTCAGCAAGGCCATAAAGCTGGTAAGACCAGCACGTGCTCATCCTTGCGATCGTACCTGCCGGCGTGGGAGGAGAGCATCTTATCTTCAATATCTATGCATGCGGAGACTTGGCTTGCACTGGCCAGCATCAGTCAATCAATGCAGTCGCTGGTCATGAAGAGTAGCTCAACTTTTGTTGCTCTCACGAACACATGCATCTCTCGTCCTGACTCATGCTTCCTCTAAAGGGCAGTGTTTGGCGACCCGGCAGGCACAACTGTTGCGTGCAGCTAGTCCCTCCTCAAAACTAAGATAAGCCCACACTCGCCCCTGGAAAGCAGACACCCGTCGGGGGATCCTAGTTGATCCCAGAGAGCTGCACTGGAACCGCAATCCCAAGTCTATTCTATGACTCAGGATCACTCATGTAGCTGGCCATCGGATCACACCACGGAGCCTCGGATGAAGTGCCAAAGTTGATTGAATCTCGGAGGCTGTAACTATAGTTGAGTCTATTATTCTAGACGGGAGGCTTCAGTTCTTCAGAACACCAGAAGCTTTCTGCATCTCCAACCACTGGGAAGCAAACTCCAGTCCTTTAGACTTGTAAGAGTCCTCTTCCAGCTCGA